ACTGAACAGTCAACAAACAACGTAAATAGAATATAGTTTTCTTTTCTTCAGTTTGGAATTTTAATGCATGTATTTGAAATTCAAACTTTTACATAAAGGGTTAAACGTATTTTCATGTCCGACTCTGAACGGTATACCCATTAACCCTCTATGTATCATTCAGGAAGATATATCTAGATATGAACTTGGCTTCTTTGTCTATATGTGTGTATGTATGCATTTTAACCACATTCTTTTGTGGCTACTTAAAACCAAGGAAGGTTTCTGGTTTGTTAAAAGAAAAAAAATTCCATTTTCTAGAATCTAGCAATGTTTACAGAAAAATTCGCAACTCGTCAAATAAAGGTTGATTTAAAAAAAATACCTTAGAGATTTGAAAGGTATTCTTGCATAAGTATGATCTGAAATTCATATTAATTCACAACTGCTCAAAAAAAGCTCATCTAAAAATTTAACTTTATTGGCAAGGAATCGTCTTTTAAAGATTTTAAAAAGTACATCAGAAATATTTCAAAAATTAAACTTTGGGTTTTTAAACATTTTAAACTTTTGCTGAAACCAATTTTTTGACAAAATTTCCTTTAAATAACTTTTTCTTAAAAGTCAAGAAACTTTGAGAAATTGTACAGTGTTAGTCTTTCACATGTAAGCATGGGCTGTATGTAATATGTATTAAAGTTAAGTTAATAATCTTGTATATATTGGTGATATTAGACATATTTATTAACATGCTATACAATACTCTTATCTTAGAAGTTTATCATAGATACATATAGTAGTATACTATATACATATGGAAACATAAATAAATATAGATATAAGATTAAATTCAGTATATGAATAATATAAATAAACAAGGGCACAAACTAACCCCCCCCCCCTCACATCATATAAAACTAAATTTAGATTTTTTCACCCATATCTCCCCTTAGTAAAGAGCTTATTTTTAAATGTTTTAAATGCTAAAATGCAACCAAACAAAGGAATTGAGTTATTGCCAAACACTTTTATTTTCTAAAACCCAATATTTTTGCCTCCTGACGGAGTAAACCGTTGATATTTCAATCTTAAACTTTTTGATCTAAGAGATTTTATAGTCAATGAAATATCTCAGGTCTATGACATCGGGATGCAAAGATATAGGGATTAAAAAATTAGAGTTTGTGGCAAAACTTAGTTCTTTTGCTTCTCTTATACTTTTGCGTAAAATCTAATCTCGAGAGCGCTTGACGACCTTTTTCTTATGTCTACATTTGACCCCCTCCCTTTTGGCCCTCCACTCTTCCTACTTTTAACTAAAGTTCATATCTTAAAAGTTTGGTTTTTTACCAAAATTATACAAATTAAACCTGCCGTAATAGGAAAAGAAACCCTGAAAAAAGAATAGATTTATTAATTTTGATATTTTTAAAGTATTAATATTGTGTTCTTACAATATATTCTCGATACTACTGGATTAAAAATACAAAGTTTCATGGTGGTATTTGATGAGAATAAGTTTATTAGATTTATGCTAAAATTATTTCCATTCTTTTCATTTTTACGAGGAAAACGATTTTTGATCCATGCAATAATGTAATATAAATCCATATGAATGTATATTTGTATAAATATGATATGCAATATGTATACAATTCTCATGGGAGTTTATATGATAGGGTAATAATACAATTATTATGAAAGGGAATTGGAAAACTTAATTTAGTTAACCAGGGTTAACTTTCTTTTATATTATTATTTTTATAACTTATCTATCTCAGGATATTTGTGATATTTAGAGTATGGTTTCTCCCCTTTCTCTCAGTCATGGCACAAAAAAGAACCTAGAGATTGGGCAGTGCACCCCGGATCTTTGAACAGTACAGACGGGGTCTATCCTCCGTTTGTACAACAAAGACCTGGGAACATGCACCTTTATACCGCTGTCAGATAGATTTATCTTAAACTCCCTATTCGAGAACAAAGGAGGCCACCAGCCTCCTCCGTATAATTATGCATGGATGGATATGCATCATCAGAATCCTCAGCATCACCAAGGGATTTATCTCAACTGGTTTCTGGTACTGATCCTATAGTCCCCATACCAGCTAATCCAACTATGGACCATAATATATCAGATGCTGCTCTATCCTCTCCCGATGATTCTATGTAGGGAGTCGCAGGTGATCAAAAGCAGTTAGAGTAATCCTTACAGATCAATGACTCCAGGAGAAGAAGAGATTCTGAGAATATATGAGGACGGAGTATACCAGCCTACAAATATGACCAGGAGGATTCCAGACACGGAGATTTTGTGTCAGACCAGGGATACCTGTTATGGAATCAGCAGCAGAACCAGATGATCCTGAGTTCGGAGATGCTGCTCATTGTAGAGCAGCTCCTCACAGACCTGTTGTAAGTCCAGCAAAGGAATCAGCTGAGAATGCAGTAGAAGCACCTCAGATTGTAGGAGTAACTAAAGTAGCAGAGACTCCGGGAGCAGCTCAGCTAGCAAAAGAAGCAGCTGTGAATGCAGTAGAAGCACCTCAGATTCTAGGAGCAGCTGAAGTAGCGGAAACTCCAGGAGCCGCTAAAGTAGCAGCTAGGATTGTTTTGGAAGCAGCAGAAGCAGAAGATGATCCTGATGCAGGAGACGCTGCTCCCTATAGAGCAGCTCTTGTTGGCAGAGATATAAGGAATAGAAAATTTGAGTTTGCTATACATTTTGATTGGGTATCTCGGTAGAACCAGGGAACTGTGCATAGCCTGGTTACCTGGTAACCTGAATACAAAGCTGGGTTTCCAAACTAGTATTTAATAATAATTGGTCGTCATCACACTGAACTAAACAGGAGAAGGTCAAATCTATGCGACATTAATGATATCACTTTGTAACCTCGTAGCTCCTCCAATTTTTGTTTGAAGAAAAACAAAGAAATTGAGTCTTAGCCATTGAGTTACAAAGATAAAGGGATTAAAAGATCAGAGTTTGTGGTAAATACATAATTCCTTAGTTACCATTGGAAATTAAAAACATTCTTGTTCTTTTTAAATTCTCTTCAAAAAAGGGATTAAAATCTAGTTTGACGTGTGGTAAACTTGTCATTTGTAAAGAGGTAAACTGCAAACTGTTTTTATGATTTAACATTATTTTCGCGCTGTTATCATGAAATCCTAACACTGTGTTAGACTTATCGAACATTATCGGGCAAAACACTATTAAAAACTCTGAACGAATTAAAAAAAATTAAGATTTGGTAGAATCTCAAAAACATTCAATAGACTTTCATTCTGATCTTGAATCTTTAAATTTTAAAAGTTTTTCGAATATAATAATTATAAGTTTCCCCCAAGTATATATATTTTGAAGAACCTTATTAAAAATGATTTTCTAAGAAATGTGGGGGGGGGGGAGCTAAACAATTGGAGATTTATAAATGGCAAGTTTTTCCTTTCTTTTTGAAACTTTTCACCCAAAAAAATCTTATTTTCCCCAAGTCAGCAATTAAAAACTGTTTCATCATTCCAAAAATGCTGGGTAAAAAACTAATGTTTGCAAGGAGGAAAAGAAATTTTCCACAATAATGTATACCCCTGTTTGAACTAAAAGAGTTGAACCTTATATACTAGGTCACCTACTTCTGGTGAATTATAATAAAATGAAATTCGAAACTAATAAAATTTTCTCAATATTTCTCCTTCAATGCGTACATATAGCAGGGGTGGGGAGGTAAAAGGGGAATTTATCAGGCCAATTTATACAGATCGAGAGCTTAATAATCAAGAATTATTTATTTTTACTCTCCTATAGTTGGCTTATTACACGTAGAATATCTATGGGGTGCTAAGAGCCATTCTTCCTCTATTTTGCATTTTACATTGCATTTAATAAAAGTCTATGCCAAGAAAACTCTAAAGTAAAAAAGTTTTCTAGATTTGATGTATTTTGTGATTTGCAGAATTTTGTTGGAAATATAAGTTAATTATAGAAATTGTGAGATAGATAAATAGATAGATAGATAGATAGATAGATAGATAGATAGATTGATAAATTGATTGATAGAACGATAAACCAATAGATAGATAAATAGATACTTCATTACTTGATTGATAGGTTCAAGTTCATGATACATTGATTAACGATTGATTGATTGACAAGTGTACATCATAAACCTAATTGATCTCAAATCATTGTGTCCAATATGAGTAGGGCGAATCAAGGATCTATGTTGGGGGGGGGGGGGGGGGGGGCCTGCCTTCATTTTTGGCTCAAATCTTCCAATTTTTTGGGTGCACGCCTTTACCCCTTTTTAGTACCTTTTCAAGAATAATTGTTAGAAGGTACTGGAGACGTAATATCTTCACGGGCAGCCGTAGTACATTTAAATTTCCGAGCCGGGTCAACCTTTCCAGTCCCAGTTTGTACTGTACCTAGCTCTATGGACTGGATTAGCCGGTGCAACAAGGTTGACGCGGTCAGACTTTATGCTTAATATAGGCTGAATTTACTTTTACTAAAGGGGAAGATTTGCGTGTCTTGTGTCCCATGCATTTTATAAAGTTCCATGTTCGATTCTCCACGGCTCCCTTTTTAAACCTTTGTCTGATCATAAAAGATTGAAATAACCTTACTTTCTTATTATTCTTTTAAATTGTGGGTTTTCTGTTAGTTGCTATAATTGTTATATTTAGGAGGGGGTTTAAAGGGTACCGTTGTGAATTGAACATTTCATTCATTTTTTAAAAAGGGTTGCATGGAGTTATGTCTGCAATCCCTCAAACCTTTAGGATTTACTTAGATGTTCCTATTTCTATACTCTAGTATAAATAGTAATGTTATTGCACGAATCGAGAAATTGAATGAACTCCGTAAAAAATGCGTACCGTGCTGCCTTGATTTAGTTAAGCCAGTGTGCCATATCGGATATCCTCATTTCTAAGTGTACCGGCCCGGACCCGGCAACCGGCAGAGTCTCCAAGTAGTGCGATAGACTCTGAAGTTTTTCAGTGTTTTACAACAAGTGAGAGAGCTAGGAGTTCCGTAAAGTGATTCTAAATTTAAACCAAGAAGTAAAGTTTTCTATTAAGTATTGCCGTGAACAAACAAAAGTGACACAAATTGTGAAAAGGAATACTGAAAACCAACAATGTCGGTGAGTAAGTTTTTGGAAACTGAAGCTTAATTGAAAAATGTTGATTCTTCTGAGATGGAATTTAAAGATTTTGAGCCGCGGTTTAAATCTGCCAAAACCCGGTTTAAATTAAGCGCCGGCTTAAATCTTGAAACATTTGATACAATTTTAAGTGAAATCAACCATATTTAAGCCTCGGCTTAAATTTAAACTGCCGCTCAAATTCTTTAAATTCGGCCACTGATCATTTATATTTCTTAATATCCTAAATCAACTGTGATGAAACTATTAAATGAATTAATAGTACTAAATAATTCCGAAAAAGTTTTGAAAATTGTCAAAAGTTTCGTAGCTACATGGTAGCTGCTGCAGTGCAGATTTATAATTGTTTTTCTCTCTTGTTTTTATTGATTTTTAATAGCTTCTACAGCTTTTTTTTGCAACCCAAGGTACTAATGCAAGGAAAGTTATTTCATAGGTGTACTCATTTTTTGCACTGCAGTGTACTGTCTTTGGGCGGAAAAGTAAACACAAGCCGGATGTCAGAGCCTGACATGGAATCCATTTTCACAAAAATAATCTATAAAATATTCTGATCACAGGAAACTATTATGTGAATTTTAAAAATTATCAAAATTAAATGTATTTAACCTCCTCGGATACTTGACGAACACTGATATGATCTATTCTATTCTTGTTTACAAATTCCGCCCAAAGAGAACTGGTTTTAATATGTACGCAGAGTATACACGACCGCAATTAACTTTCTTTTCATTAGTACCTTGTTGCCACCTAACTTTTGCTAAAGATTGCTTTTAACCACCTAGCATTTAAGTGTAAAATATTTAATTTTTGCAAAACTAAAATTGAAAATTTTGCTCATACAAAAAGTTCTAATTTTGAATTTAGTATTTTTTATTTTATGAAATTTTATTTTTGAGCATTTCTTATGAAATATGTTTAATTTTTTTCATTTGGGCCAGAGCGGGGGAAGGATATGTAAATTTATATTTTTTTTTCTTGCAAATCTAGAACTAGAGAATAACAAATTTCGGGATGTCAATTCTTTAAATATTTTATGTTTTAATCCTTACCAGATCTTAAACAGTGAATTCATTAAAAAAATAGTTTTTGAATTTGGGAACATTTTTGAAAGCAATTTTTTTATTGAAAATCGCAAAAGAGAGAAAAGATGACTTAAACTTTTCAAATATGACGATTCCAAGTTTAAATTAAGTCTTCTGCCTTAAATGTTGTTTTTAAATGGCTTACTCAATAATTTGACAAAGAAGTTTATAGTTATATATAATATATTAGTTATATAAGTTTATATATATATAATATATCTATATATAAATTTGGCTTGTCTGTCTGGGTGTCTGTCTGTCTGTTTGTATCCAATAAACGTCAAAACGGCTGAACCGATCGGGCCCAAAGTTTTTGTGGGACATCTACGGACCCCAGGGAAGGTTTATGAATGATCAAAATTTATGTTATGAGGAAAATATAGATTTCTTAGAGTCCCAACCCTGTATGCATTTGATTATATTAATTATATTATCTACCATACTTACACGGAAATCTAAAAACAAACTGATTACTCGCCTCAAAATCTGATTTTCTAATCCTTTTATCTTTTCATCTTGGTGTAAATTTTTTTCATATTTCTAACATTATTGCCGTACATATCAAAGATCTACGACATCAGGTTGCGGAGATATAAGGATTATAAAATTAGAGTTTGTTAAGAGTAATCAGTTCCTTCACATTTTCATCTTTCAATTTGCAGTTTTTTTCTGCTTAAAATAATATCTAAAATCTTGCTGTCAATTTATTTGCTAATTTTCTTTTGAAATCTTTATGTTACTAATTTCTCTGTATCCCGTTTGAATTTTAACAAAAAAACCCACGACCCAATTTGAAAATTTGAAAAGGTTAAATTTGTTTTCATGTTTCACTATGTTTGCAGTTTATATTTGCGTGTTGGCAAAAACGAACTTGAACAAATTTCGCATTGCAATTAAAGTGTCCAAACTGCTTCCTTCTCTATGAATGATTTCGCGAGTTTTAAATAAATTGCAATTTAAAATCTTGCAAATTTAAATTAATCCTTTTACAATATCGAGACACAATATTGTTTTCTCTGTATCAATTAAAGAACTTGATATTGACTCAGTCAGCAAATCTTAGCAATGCACGTTTAAAGGGTCAGTACACTAATTTAAATTTGTTAACGATTTTTTCCCGTGAGATTCACAATTATTTTTGAATAATTTCTTCAAAGCATTATTTTAAATGTAACATATTACAAAATTAACATCGAGGACTAAAAGCCGAAAAAATTCATGTTGTTATGAAATAAATCTAGCCCTGTAGGAACTATTTGAATATTGCTAAAAAAAACTGCTTGAAAAACTGGAAAATTAGGTTTTGAAATCATGCTGAAAGGAGAATCACAGGGCAATTCCTTTTAACAATATATCTTTCATGTCATGTTGTTGAAGAAAAAAGAATTTTTTCTTCTCTGTTTTTATAGTTTTATGCAAAATCATAGCTGCCGGCTTGAATATATGCATGATAGTCCTGACAGTCCTGTTTTATGCAAACAAAACCAGATCACGATATTTTTACTAAACTGTTTGTTTTTTCTTCAGTAATATTTCCTCAAAGGTTGTCTAACGTTTCAGAAATTGATTATTTGAAATTTATTTGAAAGAATGTGACTTGTAATATTTTACAACTTCTTTTTCAGATTTAAACTTTTAAAAATTTGATTTTAAATTTATATTTTTACTTGTATAAAAATAATAAGAATATATGTTTTAATTGCTACACTGTATTTCTATCAGCCGAAATCGGACTTCCTCATATAAGTATTATTGATTAAAAAGGACTTTTAACTTTCTCACAGAGAAACAAATCATTCCACAAAAACTGCCTTTTTAAATCAGAAATTCTCATGTGAGGAAGTCCGAATTTGGCTGATGGAAATACAGTGGACTTTCTTGAGTTTCAAATACACTTTCAAATGTAAAAAAAGCTTCTAAATTACAGTTAAATGTTGAAATGTTTAAATATTCGAATTCATTCTAAAGTTCTACTGTTAGTTTAGTTCGGTTTGTTGTCCCAAAATGGAGATAATTTAACTAAGTATTTTTCTAATTGCTCCAATTATTTTAATTGACCTGAATTTTATGTTTTTGCTAAAACTTGGTTTGTTAGAACCTCCCACACACCTACAGTCTACTTTTTATATATAGTTGGCTTGTCTTGGTGTTTGTTTGTATTAAAAAACTTTAAAACGGCTGAACCAATCAAGCCCAATTTCTTTAACTTCAGGTATGGTTTATGAATTATGGTCGGTCCAATTTGAAAAAAATTGAATGTAAATGGAATTTGAAAACTTATTATAGACGCAAAAAAATAGTAATATTATCATGACAGATGCAAATGCATCAGCTTATTTCTACCCCCTCCCCCTTATCCGTTTACTTATGTTCTATACCATTTTACTAAAAGGAATTATATTTCTACATCTTGGCTTGAAAGGATTATATTTCTACATCTTGGCATGAAAGGATTATATTTCTACATCTTGGCATGAAAGGATTATATTTCTACATCTTGGCTTGAAAGGATTATATTTCTACATCTTGGCTTGAAAGGATTATATTTCTACATCTTGGTATGAAAGGATTATATTTCTACATCTTGGCTTGAAAGGATTATATTTCTACATCTTGGCTTATATTTCTACATCTTGGCATGAAAGGATTATATTTCTACATCTTGGCTTCATATATCATATATACAATTTATTCTTGGTACTTGTACTCAGATATATTCTCCGTTGCTACAAAATTTCTATTCCAATACAACATCTAATTTATTATAGTTTTACAATTTCGTAGACTTGATTTTCTTTTAACCATTTAAAAATGTTTATTTTGTTTATTTTTAGAACTAAACAGCGGCAAATGGCATATTTTTTTCTGTAAAAGAAATAAATTTTGTGCTTTCATTTATTCGTGGTTTTTAACCACCAAAAGTCCACCCCCCCCCCCCCCCCTAAGGTTGCGCCATCCCAGGGCTCGTATATCTTTACTTTTAGTTGAAACTGTTTGTAAAGATGAAAGTTGAAATTTTGAATTTATGGAATTCAATCAACGTGAGATAATATTAATCTTGGATTAATCACATTATTCTCACGACTTTCAAACCAAGTATTCTGTAAATTATTAGACCTTCATCCTACAATTGTTTTCAGATGAAGGACTATTTCACTTTCCTTCCTTTCCCTTTGCCCCCCCTTCCCCTTTTCCCGTACTGTTTACTTTTTCCTATTCCCTTTTTCCCCTGTTTTATTCCCTTTCCATCAAGAAGAAATAAATTTAGGAAAACTGTGATATGACAGAATAATTAATATTTTGCTAGGTTAGTTAATATTTTCTACTTTTATAAATTATATTTTCTACTTTTATAAATTATATTTTCTACTTTTATAAATTATATTTTCTACTTTTATAAATTATATTTTCTACTTTTATAAATTATATTTGCTACTTGTTTCTACAATTTTCCCGTTAGATACTTGATAAAGACACCGTTTTCATTTCAAGTCACTCCTTATTTTAGAATGGGCGTGTGTGAGATTTACTACGCCAACCCTGAAACCTTTATCTGATCAAAAATGTGGAAGATATCTTCGTTAATTCCCTAGACATGTGTTTAATTCATAAATTTAAATACAATTGCATTATGATTTTCAAACTATAGTTTACCTGCTTTGAAATATATTCATGTTCATGAAGCATCAAAGCAGTGCATATTTAAATATATTTAAACATAATCTAGAAAATGAAAACTAATTCAAAATGATTTTTAGATTTTTAACTTTGTGACTTTTAATAATGGGGTTACTTAATTTGTATCATCTTTCATATATTCAACTTTTTACCTATTCATCTATTCATCTGTTTATCTATTCATCATTTCATCCTTTCATCTATTCATCTCTCTAA